TGAGCTGAGTTAAGTATCATTGAACTTCTCCTCTTTGCAAAGTGAACAAAAAACTTACTGGTCTCTCTGATGTCAAATTGTTTAAATGTTTGGCGGGGTTGTTTGTTTCTCTGAGTTCTAGGTTAAGAAAATACCAGACACGGACTGACGTCATTCCGAGCTGATAGCGTTCCAGTTTCAAACATCAGAAAAAACGTTTCTATTATTTTGCTCTGCAACAATAAAACGTACAATAATAGTGCTCCACGAGGTATTTTGAGTGTACAAACAGTGTTAAAACAAATATTTTATCTCTCACTATAAAGCACTACAAGTATGTCTGACGAAATGTAAAATAAACAACACAGAAGCTGCGTTTGTTTACATGCAAGAGTAGCAACGGACAAGCATGCTAGTATGCTACATACATTAAACAAATATAAAAAGGGAAAATAAACAAACAAATTACACTCATTTTTATTCTGCCTCCTCTCTTCTTACTTTCTGTCTGTTAAATAATGGGGATGGTGATTGTGGTTGATTACAGCTCAACATTAGAGAAMCATGCTAATGATAGCGCGACCGCTGTGCGCATCAGCCATGTTGAAATGATGACGTAACGCATGCTYGGGCATGGTTTGGATGCGCCGACCTCTCGACTCGAAACTACGACTTCAGGGGGTGTTCCAGTAGAAAAATAGAACTCGGAGGCTCGAAGCTACGACCTCCGAGGACAACTGGAATGCAGCATGAGATCTCTTTTTCAATGGAGGCCTGAAGGCAACCTATTGTACATGTTTTGGGGGGTGAGGCACACCGGAGTACCCGGAGAAAACCCACGCAAGCACRAGGAGAACATGCAAACCCCACACAGAAAGACCCCAGATCTGAACGGGGGATCGAACCCAGAACCTTCTTGCTGTGAGTCGTCGGTGCTAACCACTGAGCCATCGTGCTGCCATGATTATGAGTATGTGTAAATTTGCTGGTGTCTGGCTCGATACAGACACCACTCACTTGGTTAAGTCAGTTTAGCTGCTGAATCTGAGCATTTGGCTGATTTGTCTCTATAAATGAAATACAAACCCCGTTCTCCCAGCTAGCTTCTGTGTCATCTGGACTGCTAAAGGTTTGCTTTCATTGTCTTGAGATGAAAAATGATGAGAATATTTTTCCATGACTTGTTTATCTTTTGTGTAAAATCTGCTTAACACAAACCTCTACACTTTTTTTGGTTATGATTTATAATTCCAAAATGATGACAATTTCCTTAACACCTTGCTTCAGTCATATTAGTGTTTCTAGTTAAAAAAAGTTATAAAATATAACATTCAAAATTAAGGATTTTAATTCATGAGATAACAATCTGACTTTATTATTGATTAGATGACTTGTTTTTAACTTAAGTTTGCTCCTTTATCTTCTGATTTATTCCCAACCCCTGAAAAGTGGTTTTATCTGTGCTGAAAATCTCATTGGAAGCGAACACATGAAACCATTTTAGCTGT